ATTATAAAATTTCGTCTTATCGTATGATTAAATTTCTTGAATTGTTTGTAGACACATATATGTTTAATATGTATGAAAATGTTTTAACTTACCGAATATTTCGAAACAGAATGTTATTGGAAATTATATTAATTAAAACTATATGTTGTTTAAAAATGAACTGCCAGCAAATTAATGCTTTGGAAGTTTGCAATCTTGGAAGAATATAATATATTCACACACTTTATTAAAAATATTATATCTACCACGACGATGTTCGAAAGACCACGAAAGACTGGACTGATTCTCTGTACGTGTCTTCATGATAAAAATAATGTGTTAGGTCAACAAATTTCTGAGGTCGTTTTATGTGTATATATATTTACATATATATTTGTGTGTGTGGCGGCATTTTTGTGTAACTGTTGTCTTAATGAGCACATTTAAATTTTGCCCAATTAATTTAATAAATTGGCATTATTTATACAACATTTATATGACTTATTTCGAAAAACATTTTCACTAAAAATATATTGTAATTTCTCGTCATATACTCATCCTTCAATAATTTTATCTTAATAATTTTTTGCACAAAATAGTAATAGAATTCAATTATTATAAATATATATCATTATTTAAAAAATGTAAACTACATAGTGCACATTATTACGAATTTGATTTTTTTTTTCAATTATTGGAATGTTTTTCTTATACCAATCAATTTATCCACATTATTTTGTGCATTAGTTTGTTAAAACAAAATAATATTGAAAAAATAAATACATATTACGAAATGTTTTATATTTTTGTTAGAAAAGAACATAAAACGTTTAAAAAATAATGATAACTATCAAATCTCAAAAATACTCCATTTGAAACAACACCATATACTTACGACGCGACGCTCCTTTTAAATTTTATAAAATATTGTATAAGTATATTTTCGGAAGAGAAACCTTGGTTCTGAAATAACCATACGTTATTAAAATGGGTTAATTATATTTTGTTCGAAATATACATTTTTATAAATGTCTTTATGCCCAATATTGTGCTTTTATACTATACCTACGTCTGTATGTAAAAGTATATATTATAAAATTGTAAATATTATAATCGATTACTTATTAATCATGATATGTACTATTCTTTCGTCTTTTATATTAATTTGTTCTAATTTTAAAGTTTTAATACTTTGATTATTATACATGTACTCATGTGCGAAACTATAAAGATTTATAACTGATAAAATAGTATTCTTCGATAACATTTCTTTATAAACTTAATACAATATATTTTCGAAGATCTGTTTTCTTTTTTTTCAATATAATATATATATATATATATACTAAATAAATAAACTAGAGATAAAGCCAAAATAGAATACAATTTTGATTATAAATCGTGACTTTCCGATGAACTATCGCGATACATCAAACCAGATGTGACAACAATTGTTGCGAATTTATATTGCGAATTTCTTTGAAAAATTAAAATATTCTATAATTGATAATTATATAATAATTATTATATTTTTATCTTTCGAACATATATTATGTTATACAGAGAGGCCTCTAAAAATTTGAACAAAGTTTTATTTTATCAAATCTCTCTGATAGCGCAATAAAATTTTTATTAATTTAAATAAAATATTTAATTCAATACTTCTGCATAATAAAAATTATTTATTTGAAACTAATAATATCGATTGTATGTAAAAAATATTTATTGTTTGATGTAAGAAAATTCTTTTCAATACAGATAATTATTTATTTGTATCAAATAAATGATTTATATAGCTGTATAGAAATAAAAATATTTTTAATTTAATAATTTTTTCAATGCGCGGTGATACTCTTTTATATGTGTCAATTTAATTCTTGGCAATATGTGAAACATTAAATTGATTTTAATTGTGCAAGTAAAAATTAAATTAAATTATCTTTAATTTTGATTTAAATGTTTAAGAAAATTAATAAACGATACTTCTTTCCTTTTTACAATATTTTATTTAGTGTTAGAATTACTGAAATATCAATAAAGTATTAAATCAGCCAAAGATATCTGTTAAAAATTCGTACTATAATTTACACACACAGCATGTCTTTAGTTTAATTTTTATTTTCTTTTATGTAATTGATGTAAATTATAATATTTTTAAGTTTCAAAGGCATTTTATTCGATAAATTTTTATGGGTCAAAAATTATTTCAATATTACGGTTCCGGAATCAATTATACGTAAATATGTGCGTATATTACGTATAGTAGCTTTCTTTACATATTCTAATCGATAAGCTATAAAAATATTTTAAAGAGATTCGACATTTATCATTAAGAATAGTAAGAAACGGAATAATAAAAACTCAAATGAAGTAATAAGATAATTTTTAATATTAAAATTCATCGCGTTGATTGAAACAAGCACATGTTAGACGCGCACTTATTATAAACTTGTGACAAATGTTATTGCTGTGTTATTGCTATGTGACAAGTTATGCAATATTTTTGACCTTGCAGTTTTATATCGTTATTTTCAATATTTTTCTATTAATATATATATATATATATATATAATATATATTAAGATAATATTTTATTTAAATAACTTTTTAATAGAGAGAGAAGAGAGAGAAGAGAAGAGAGAGAGAGAGAGAGAGAGAGAGAGAGAAATGTCATGTTATTTATTATAAACTAAAAAATGCTAATCAATCACAAATTCTACATAATTAATAATATTGAATGTAAAAAATAATTAATTTCTGCAATAATATATAATTTTACTACTTCAAACAAGATCGCAAAAACATAAAAATCTTGATGCATGCAGTTATAACGTTTTGTAAATATAAAAGGCAAATATATAAATCGGATAGTAATACATCTAAATAAACAATATTTAGAGCAGTAAAAGATATAGTAGATACAATATAAAAAATTATTCATATAAAGTATGTCCACGTATGCAAAGCTGCAATTTTTTTACATCCACCGATTAGAAGAAAAATCTTGCAAAATATTGTCTCTGCTTCTCGATTTGTTTTTTGCGAATAATTTGAATCTTGATTGTAATATAGGAATATAATTCATCCTTATCTATTACACGGTCACTCATCTAAAACAAATCGTTTCATTAATTATAATATAATTAGATAAATATAGTAATCTCATTCCGCATTATACAAATCTTAATATATATAAACAAAGATTGTCATAATAAAATCAACATACTAATTATATAACAAATAATCAGATATAAAAATAATATTCAGAAATTAATCACACAGATAGAACAATTTTTCATTTTCTTTCGCTTTCCATAATAATATTTATTAAATATACCTCCTTTATTCGATGTCTTCTAAATAGATGTTCTGTATTCACTTTAATTACGTTAGCTTCTACAATAATTTCAGATTGTTTCTCTATTAACTAAAATGTATAATTTTAATACCATTATTAATGAACAACGTTATGGTAACATTATGAAAATTATTTTAAACATTAAATAATAATTATTAATATCACATTATTATCATATTTTGTATACATATTTAAACATGTAACATTTTTACCTCAACTAGATTTTCGGAATATACGTTATTAATCATAATAATAAATGCTGCAATTATATTAACATTTCTAAAAACAAAAAAAATCAGATGTATATATATAATACATATAATAAACTTTTGTACAAAATATTTATAAAAATATGTCACTTTACTTTGGTTTTATTACGTTAAAATTATCGAATAAATACGTCAGTATAATTGGATTCTTTGCATGCTTCGTAATAAAATGTAAGAATGTGTTAACGAGAAATCGATTTTCCTGTTTTGTATTAATGTACTGTTTATAACTTAAATAGTATTTGATGAAATCAGTATCTCCAATGCAAGCCAAGTATTCTGAAAATTTATAGTCAGCTTTCATTACTCCTATGGTATACACTAATCCAAAAGTGGTCTCATTTCTCGTAGTTATCATCAAACCTCTACAATATGTCCATGTCTTCCACCATGGCAAAAGTCTAAAATATAAATTGAATTTAATTTTCTTATTAAAGATTTTCGTATTAATTCATTTGAACATTATAAAAGATATCTACAAGGAAATTTGATTACAAAAAGCTAAATATATATAACAATATTTACTTGTGTTTTATAGGATCTTTGATATGTTCTTCTAATTTATTTTTTGCTTTTTCTATACAAATGGTGTGACCAAAAAAACATGCCCATCTTGCAGCTTCTTGTCGTAAACATATTCTAAGTTCGTCTGCATCATCAATTTCTTCATATTGGATTTTTTCAAGTAACTCGTTTAACATGAATTTTAGCTTATCTATTCTATCCTAAAAATCATTAAATATATATTTTTTTATTAATATGTTTATAATTATAATTTATCGACAAAAATTTTAAACATTCAGTTATGTATCCAATAACAATGTTATATATTAATATTATTCACAGTAGTGAAAATCATACACTTTGGGAACTGTTTATCGCGTGAGTGATTATTCAAACTGAATTTGTTTGCACATTTATGTGAGACGTAATAATATGTAAAACTTTATCGCTAGATATATTTCTCTATAATATTTAAATTATTTGTGATCAATCAGTGTATATATAAATATTCAAATGTAATACTTTCATTGAAATTGATTAGTATTTACCGCAAATTTTTCAGTTTTTCGTCCACTGGAAAAGTACTAAACATGTTTTCCAGAGCTTTAAACATAGGATACCATGCGATATAATCTATTTCTCTATCCAAATACGATGTGATACTCCAGAATATAGAGGCGTTGAGGTGACCTGCTATCACTAAATGAAATGCATCATCGATAATTTGGGCACGATTAAGAACATGAATTGTCGTAAAATCATCATTGTATAGATAATCTGAAATTCTTCGCCAATTCTCATTATCATAGTTAACGCGGTAATATCCTGTTGAATAATAAATAAATTTTAACAATTTTTATTATTTTGAATAATTTTATTATTAATATACACTTAATTTCAAACATTTTTGTTTAATATTTTTGTTTATATAAATTATAAATTAAAAATGTATAAAATATTCAATAAATTGCAAATACATATTTAAAATTAATTATAAATTAAAAATGAAATTGTGCGAGATATTGTTGTATAGCATAAAATAAAATTGATTCTAGTTGTGCATATATATATTTTATTTTATCTGTATACTTATATTAGTATACTAATTTTATAAATATAGTTAACTTTTTAATCATTTTTACTATGATTAGAATAAAATATTTGTAAAAATATAACTTTAATATTGATATTACGTAGAAAACGCCTATATATATATATATATATATATATATATATATATATATATATATATATCTTATTAATTATATATAATAATACAGAACACAGAACATTACACAAAGCATTTTAAAACTATTGTAGTTTATATAATGAATATATAATGAATATCTCTAATTTTTATATAGTACTGTATAAAACAGAAAAAATATAAAATAATGTCAATTGTGTGTGTAAAATAAAGACGAGTAATAAGTCATAATAATAAGTCAATTGGTCGATAATTACCAATTTGTTGTATATTGAATATCATCCAACCATTCTCAAGAAATGAGTTTGTTGAATTTAAATCCCATGATTTGCATAGCCAGTAGTGAGTAAAATTGTTAAAATTGGTATACGTCTGGGTCGTAAAAGTTACAGGAATGCAATCAATTTCTAATGTGTCGTAATTTTGTACCGATACATGTATGTAGCTCCCATGATCACTATAATTTCGTACTACTTTGATGAGAGGACAATGCTCTTCCAAAGTCCAATATTCCATTGTTTGTAATGATATTTCAGTATCTACATTTTTTGCATCAGCAACAACTTCTTCCAAAAAAGTCATAAAACTTTGACGATGAAATTGGCTAAATTTACAAAGTGTGTAAATTATGTAAAGAAAACATTATAAATATGTTAAAATTGCATGTATAATTTTAATATTAAAAAAAATTTTAATAAATTCTAAGAAGCAAAATATAATTGCACTTCTATTTATATATTTATATGTGGCAATAAATGCCACAAGCATATAAAATATATACAAAATAAAAATTAAAATTACAAGCGACGTGTGTTAAGGATATCGCGACCGGTAACACAAAACAATAAATAAATAAACGAGCGACTAACATGACGAAAGTAAATTTCGATTACCGAACATAATAAAAAGCGAGAGTACCTCAAAATAAAGATAGAGTCTAATCACCTAAAAATAAAAATAAGATCGCGGAATGATGGAGAGAAGCGAGACAATGCGCGGCCTCGAGGCCAGAGACTTGCGTTCGCGTAACACGTTTTGTTTCCCGGCGAAAAGTAAAGTTTGTATCAGGTCTTTTGTGACACAAATAAAATGAAGTAAGATACATTATACTGTGCAACCTCAAATTAATATTCCGGATAAAATATCCTCACTCAATCCGCGATAACGGCGAAACATAATTGACGAACAAGAACGCACCTAAATATATATCTTATATTTATATGATGATAATAACATAATATTGAATAAAATTTAATAATTTTATTTGATTTGTTAGGTATTAATAATATAGATTATATTTGATCAAGGTATTGAAAGAGTTATAAAATGATTAATAAAAGAAATAACAAAACAAATAAATTGAAGATAAAGAAAGCACAAAAAATGAAAAACATATAATAAAAGAAATCGTTCTACGAAAAAAATGAAATGAAAATAAAGAAAGCAATGCAAAAGAGATATACGTGTTAGATATATTTAAAATAAGATTAAAAAACGAATGTAGCACAAAATTTAATAAAAAGAACACATAAAAATAATACACGATAGAAAGAAATAAAGGAAATAATAAAAAGAATAAAAATTAATTAAAAAATTATTATGAAAAATAAGAAATTGAAACAAAAAAAACAATATTGAATATGTATATATGAAAAAGTAACAGAACAACAATTTGTTTCAACAAAAGCGGTTTTCATAATAAAAGTAATGAAAGTAAAAATAAGTCTAGTAGCAGATCTAGGAAAATAGCGAAATTGTAAAACTAAAAGAAAACAATACGAAAAATGTCAGAAGAAGCGAAATAATAAGGGACATTCTATAATATTTGTATTATTATAAATTATTTAAGATTTATATAATTTTATGTTTTTATATTACATTTTATATTGTATTACTCACGTGTTATTTCTATACGAGCGAACGCCTTTCCAAAATATTTCATCGGTGAAAACGTGTTGCATCATGCGCAGTATACAGGGTGCTACAATTTACATTAAAATTGTAAATTAGATATATTATAAATATATATTTGTTATAATGGTCACGTATGTTAACATAGTAATATTATAAAGAATTATATAAATATAAATATAAATATATACATATATATATATATATATATATATATATACATGTATGTATACAAGGTATAGTATATAATCGCATAACTATTAATTAATATTTAAATATTAATTAAAGAATATATACATACGTATCCACACACGGACATGAGCGCGAATGTGTTTGTGTATATACTTTTACAAAATTAATATTTAATTAGAATCCAAAAAAAATAAAGAATTAATTACTTTATAACTTTACACATATTTTTATAATATTAGTAATTAGAAATGTACACGGACTATTTAATTATTTTACGTTATACCTCTGATGGATCGGCGAATTTTTAATAAACTGTCATATTGTGAAGTAGAATTCTCCATATCATAATCATCCAAATAAAAAGAAGTATGTTGATTTTGAACAACAAATAAATTTATTATTCGATTATCAGGATAAATCTGTAAAAAAAATAATTAATATATCGATATAACCGCTCTAAAAATACTTGCATTAGAAGGAAATGCTAATATTGTTAGCGGTTCTTCTATGTTAAAAAAAACATTTTCTCATTTTGAAATATATACATACAAATAAATATAGTAATAAAATCTAAAATTTTGTATTAATATAATTAGTAAATATTATATACTTTTGTAGAATTATTAGCTTATAATATTATATTGCAGATTTCTCTTTATCAAGCTAATTTAAATAAATGTATGTACTAATTTTTTAAAAATAAAAGAATTTTTAATATTTTACATTATAATGATATGTATGTAAATATTTGGAAAAAGTATTTTTTTAAAACAGTTTAGTATTTTACATAATGTTGAATGTTTTTAACATAATACCTCATTGACAGTATACATTGCAATCAAAGTAACAAGACCATTATTAAACCAAAAATCCGATACTAACGGATGGTTCATTAGATCATAAAACCATTCTTCTATCACTTTACGTCCTACTAATTGAGTAACTTCGATGTCGCGAGTAACAGGATATATATCTTTACTATTGATGATATCTGTTTCCCTGAAAATTATATTTGAACGTTCAGATTGAGAACTTTCGTAAAAAATAAATCTTTATATTTTTGTTACAATTTTTAAAATTTTATTGTTAGAGGTACGATTTACAAACTCATGGGTACAATTTAGCAAATCAGTATTGTAACTCGTACCAAATAATGTTTCCTTAATTTTTAATTTAAGTTTAAAACAATGATTTTGTATTAATGCGTATATCATTGATAAAAAAGTACAGTTTTAAATAAATAAAAAAATGTCATTTTTTTATAGCTTTATTACAATTTTAGCATTTAGGGATACGATATAGCATAAAAACTTTTCCCATTATATGTATGTATGTATATTAAAACAATAAACTTCAACTTTTTGAATTATAATACGAATAAACTTACTTCTTACTACTTAAAATTGTTTGTTTTCCCAATTTCTTATACTATCGAACATTTACAGAAACAGAATAAAGATATACATGTTTTTAAACTTTATCATTTTGCATGCATACTAATATAATTTTGTTTTTAATGTAATCTTAAGCACTTGTACTCACTTGTAAAAAACAAGTCCGAAAACTGTTATGCCATTGTCATGGAAATTTGGAATTGCAACGTGAGTCACCTTAAAAAAATTGTTCACACGTTGTTTCCATTTATTTTTAATGATTTTTTTAGTGATATTTTCAGCTACATTTTTTGCAAATTCAAAGTGAATTACAAATTCGTTTCTGCACCACACTTCAATGTTTTGAGTATCATTATAAACACGTAATAGGTAATTGGACACAATTATTGTTGCAAGATAAGGCGACATTGCATATGTGATAAAGGAGTGTGTCCATAACATATTATTCACAATTTGTTTCGTATTTCGCAATGGAATATTTGACAAAACCATGCATTGGTTACATCTTATAGAAATCTTAAAGGTTGCTTCTAATAACTCCTGTTGCCGACATGGAAACAATCCGGCATCTATTATCTGGAAATGCGTAGTAGCTATCCAACTACATTTCAAAGTACAGAAATTAATGAGACATTTTTGGTAAGCATAAAAATATTGAGAGTTAAAAAATCCATAAATGTATAATATGCGTCAACGTATAATATATATTTGACTTTATTACATATATTATAATAATAAAGGTAAAGAGAGATTGTTCGTCTTTATATTTGAATTCCACGATATGTAATAATACTTGGGATACTTTAATACCTAAATAATCTATTATTAATTACAACAATATATTAATTAAAATAATGTATTAATTAAAATAATATATTAATTACGATGATTTATTTATTTGCAGATTGTACTTTTTTAATAAACATTTGTTATTTACTTACGCAGATCTTTCTTTCACGTCGAAAATTGTGAAACCTTCATCAGCTGTACCCATATATTTTATATGTAAAGTGTAATTTCCTGGTGATAAATCATCCATAAAGAAAACGTCAATTATGTTTGCTTTAATATTATACGTCGGTTTATACATTATTGTAAAATGTCTATCATTTTTATGAGATTTTCCCAAACTTTTAAATAAAACTATGTTTTTAATACATAATTTTACTGAAGGTAAATATATGTGTTGCGTTTTGCTAAGAATGCTTATGCTGATCTTGTATTCTCCATAGATAATATTTCCTTCAATGTATAATATATGCTTGATATCGTAATGCGTTGGTTTTATATATTTTGATGGTCGATAACATAAAGATTCATTACGAATAGAAGCCGTCTCAGCGATAAATATTAATCCGCTACTTAATAATAGGTTTAGAAATATCATCATGTCGGAGAAAAGGAATATTTATTGTAAAACACACTGTAAACAAAAGATAAATAGAGAAATTAAATATAGTTTTGATGTCTTTTTTAAATCACACTAGACGACACAATAACAAGGCGTTTCGCGCGCGTTTTTGATATTATTTCTATTATTTATTTTACAATGGTTAAATTATTAATTTTGACGATGACAGTTGCTTGATGCTATGAATATGATCATAATTTTAATTCGCCGAATTTTAATTTTAAAGCAAATCGACACAATAACAAGGCGTTTCGCGCGCGTTTTTGATATTATTTCTATTATTTATTTTACAATGGTTAAATTATTAATTTTGACGATGACAGTTGCTTGATGCTATGAATATGATCATAATTTTAATTCGCCGAATTTTAATTATGTACATAATTTTAATTCGCCGAATTTCTATTTTCTATTCTGACTATTTTGTATACATCCTACTTTGTATCTCTTTATATATATTTTTTTATTTCGTTCAATTTAATCGAATATAATTACGTGCGCGAAACGAAGTTATATTATTTTTGATAATAAAAGAGAGAGCATATGTTTATTATTATTTTCCTTTAAAGGTTGGTGTTTTTTTCTTAAATTGTGTATTATATAAATCCCAAACAAACAATCACCGAGAATAAAACCAACATAAAATCAATTATAAATATAAATTATAAACTTGATAATAAATCTCTATATACATATAAGTATACAATGTGTCCCAAAACTATATTATGGATTTTTTCATTAGATTGATAATTAGAACGTTCTATCATTTTACTCTAGAATTTATAATTAATATATAATTATTAAAATTTTTAATTACATTGCCTCAACTTCTTATCATAACTTTTATAATACATCGCCCTTATAGAGGGATATATCAAATACAAATTGAAAACGATTGTTCTATTTTTTATTCTTTTTAATTACATATATAATCGTCAACAACAAAAATTAATATTTGATTCTTCATTCTTGTTAAAGTTATTCTACTCAATGTCAGCACAACTCTAAAATAATTTTAAATAATAAAATACACACAGATATTTTTTTTTATATAAAAAGTAAAAGGTACGACAAATTATAGAAAACGAAATTTTAATAATCTAGTAATGAAAGGACAATTAAAAGTGTCTATTATAATGTGTGTACATTTATCATCTTTTATGTAAATTGTAGTATTTTTAGGTTTCAGAAATAATTTAATCGATATCAAACTTTTGTGGGTCCACAATTATTTCAACATTACAATTTGTAAAATATTATAATATCGATAATATTTGAAATTACCTCTGGATTAAAATTTAACAATAATTTTGAATAAAACTGTTCTCTTTATTCTTATACATATGTTGAAAATTCTTCAAAATTCCGTTATACTGTATAATTAAATTTTTTTTTGTATTTGTGAACAAATATATGTTTTATAGTGTAAATTTATTTTGACTTACCCAATATTTCGAAACAGAATGTTAATTGGAAAATTATATTAATTAAAATATTATATTGTTTTAAAAATGAACTGCAGCAAATTAATGCTTTGGAAGTATGCAATCTTGGAAGAATATAATATATTCACACACTTTATTAAAAGTGTTATATCTACCACGACGAGGTTCGAAAGACCACGAAAGACTAACTGATTCTCTGTACGTGTCTTCATGATAAATGTAATGTGTTAGGTCAACAAAACTTCTGAGATCGTAATATGTATATATATTTACATATATATTTTTGTGTGGCGACATTTATGTGTACATTTGTCTTAATTAAGCACAAAATATTTCTTAAGTTAATAATTTTTTCAATGCAGAGATATTTTTTTATACTTGTCAATATGTGAATACTTGTCATTAAATTTATTCTTTTATACTTGTCATTAAATTGATTTTAATTGTGTGAGTAAGAATTAAAATAAATTATCATTAATTTTGATTTAAATGTCTGAGGAAAATAATAATCGATTTTTCCTTCCTTTCACAGTATTTTATATAGTGTCATAATTACTCAATTATCAATTAAAGTATTAAATTAGCCATAGATATCTATTAAAAATACATTCTATAAATTTACTCACATAAACATGTGTTTAATTTAATATTTATTTTCTTTTATATGTGTATATTATAATATTCTTAAGTTTTAAAGGCATTTTATTCGATATATTTTTATGGGTCAAAAATTATTTCAATATTACGATTGCTAAATTAATTATATGTAAATACATATGTGCGTATATTACATAGTACCTCCCTTTTTATATTCTAATTGATGAGCTATAGAAAAATTTTAAAATATATTAATTGTTTCCCGATTTCGGTATAACGGATTTCTATCTTTTTTATGTGTTGCAACACTGTTGTACAAATTTTATTTTGCTAAAAGAGATTCAACATTTATCATTAAGAATAGTAAGAAATGACAAATAATAGAGAAGCAAATGAAATAATAATATAACTTTTTGATATTAAAATTTATCGCGTTGATTGGAAGAAGCACACATAACGCGCATTTATTAAAAACATCAACTTGTGACAAATGTTTTAAAATATTTTTTCTTCTCTAGCTTTGCTTAAATCTCTTTTAAAAATAATTGTAAGGTACAATTCAGATTGACACATTTTGCAGCATTTTTAAATCTATTAAAAATCAGCAAAAATGTTAAATTATGTTGTACAATTTTAAATATTATGTAATGTTTTTTTATAAATATATATTAATATATTAAGATTAATATTTTATTTAAATAATTTTTTAAAATTAAAATGTAAATTTATACAAGAGAGAAGAAGGAGGGGGGAGAGAATAGAGAAAGGTAAAGAGAGAATTGTGTCATTTTATTTATTGTAAACTAAAAAATGCTGATCATAATTAATAGTATTAAATGTATAAACAATTAATTTCAGTAATAATATATATATAATTCTACTACTTCAAACAAAATCGTAAAAATACGAAAATCTTGATGCGTGCAGTCATATAGTTTTATAAAGCTAAATATAAAAGCATCGGATAGTAATACATCAAAATAAACACTATATAAAGTAGTAACAATAATAGTACGTACATAATAAAAAATTATTTATATGAAGTACTTCCACGTATGCAAAGCTGCAATTTTTTTACATCCACCGATTAGAAGAAAATTCTTGCAAAATATTGTCTCTGCTTCTCGATTTGATTTTTGCGAATACTTTCAACCTTGATTATAATATAGGAATATAAGTCATCTTTATCTATCACACGGTCACTCATCTAAAACAAATCGTATTATTAAGTATAATATAATTAGATAAATATAGTAATCTCATTCCGCATTATGCAAATCTTAATATATATAAACAAAGATTGTCATAATGAAATCAACATATTGATTATATAACAAATAATTAAATATAAAAATAATATTCAGAAATTAATCAGATAAAACAATATTTCATTTTCTTTTGCTTTCCATAATAATATACATATATTAAATTTACCTCCTTTATTCGATGTCTTTTAAATTGATCTTCTGTGTTCACTTCAATTACGTTAGCTTCTACAATACTATCAGAGTGTCTCTCTATTAACTATAATGTATAATTTTAATACCATTATTAATAAACAACGTTATGGTAACATTATAAAAAAATTATTTTAAACATTAAATAATATATATTAATATCGCATTATTATCATATTTTGTATACATATTTAAACATGTAAAATTTTTACCAGAGCTAAATTTTCGGAATATACGTTATTAATCATAATAATTAATGCTGCAATTATATTAAGATTTCTAAAAACAAAAAAAATCAGATGTATATATATAATACATATAATAAACTTTTGTACAAAATATTTATAAAAATATGTTACTTTACTTTGGTTTTATTTCGTTAAAATTATCTAATATATACATCAGTATATTTGATTTATTCGCATGCTTTGTAATAAAATGTAAGAAATTGTGAACGAGAAATTCATCTTCTTGTTTTGTAATAGTGTTCTGATTATGACTTAAATAGTGTTTGATAAAATCAGTATCTTCAATGCAAGCCACGTATTCTGAAAATTTATAGTCAGTTTTTTCCAATCCTCTAGTATACACTATTCCAAAAGTGGTCTCATTTCTCGTAGTTTTCATCAAACCTCTACAATATGTCCATGCCGTCCACCATGGCAAAAGTCTAAAATACAAAAGAATTTAATTTTGTTATTAGAGATTGGCGTATCAACTTATTTGAACATTATAAAGATATCTACAGGGAAATTTGATTAAGAAAAGCTAAATATATATAACAATATTTACCTGTGTTTTTTAGGATCTTTGATATGTTGTTCTAATTTATTTTTCGCTTCTTCCATACAAGTAATGTCACCGAAAAAACATGCCCATCTTGCAGCTTCTTGTCGTAAACATATTCTAAGTTCGTCTGCATCATCAATTTCTTCATATTTGATTTTTGCAAGTAAGTTGCTTAATATGAATTTTAGCCTATTTATACCCTAAAAATCATTAAATATATATTTTTTTAATATGTTTATAATTATAATTCATCGACAAAAATTTTAAGCATCCAGCTATGTATCCAATAACAATGTTATATATTAATATTATTCACAGTAGTGAAAATCATACAGTTTGGGAACTGTTCATCGCGTGAGTGATTATTCAAACTGAATTTGTTTGCACATTTATGTGAGACGTAATAATATGTAAAACTTTATTGCTAGATATATTTCTCTATAAATATTTAAATTATTTGTGATCAATCAGTGTATATATAAATATTTAAATGTAATACTTTCATTGAAATTGATTAATATTTACCGCAAATTTTTCAGTATTTTCTTCCACTGGAAAAGTACCAAACATGTATTCCAGAGCTTTAAACATAGGATACCATGCGATATAATCTTCTTCTTTACCCAAATACAATGTGATATTCCAGAATATAGAGGCGTTGAGGTGACCTGCTATCACTAAATGAAATACATCATCGATAATTTGGGCACGATTAAGAACATGAATTGTCGTAAAATCATAATAGTATAGATAATATGAAATTCTTCGCCAATTCTCATCATCATAGTTAACGCGGTAATATCCTGTCGAATAATAAATAAATTTTAACAATTTTATTATTTTGAATAATTTTTATTATTAATATACACTTAATTTCAAACATTTTTGTTTTTTTCGTTTATAAAAATTATAAATTAAAAACGTATCAAAAATTCTATAAGATGCAAATACATATTGAAAATTAATTATAAATTAAAAATGAAATTGTGCGAGATATTGTTGTATAGCATAAAATAAAATTGATACTAGTTGTGCATATATATAATAATTATTTTATACCAATCAGCAAAAGTTCTGTAACATAAAACTGTACAAGAATTTTATTTCACGTGTATACTTATATTAATACACTAATTTTATAAATATAATTAACGTTTTAATCATTTTTATTATTATTAGAATAAAATATTTTTAAAAATATAACTTTAATATTGAATGATATTATGTAGAAAACGCCGATATATATCTTATTAATTATATATAATAATACAGAACAGTATACAAAACATTTTAAAACTATGGTAGTTATATATAAGAATATCTCAGATTTATATATAATTATATGTAAAGCAAAAAAAATATAAAATAATGTCAATTGTGTATGTGTGTAAAATAAAGATGAGTAATAAGTCATGATAAGTCAATTGGTCGATATTTACCAATTTGTTGTAAATTGATTATAACCCAACCATCTTCTTCTGATGAGAATGAAATAACATCATCCTGTGATTTGCATAGCGCGCGGTGATCAAGACTGTTAAAATCGGGAACAGATTGGGTAGTATAAGTTACAGGTAAGCAATCAATTTTTAATGTGTCGGGATTTTGTATCGATAAATATATTTTCGTCTTTCCCAAAAGACCATAATTTCGTTCTACTTTGATGAGAGGACAATGCTCTTCTAAAATCCAATTTGCCATTGTTTGTAATGATAATTGAAGTTTATCTAGCTTATTTGCATCAGCAACAATTTCTTCCAAAAAAGTCATAAAACTTTGACGATGAAATTGGCTAAAATCACAAAGTATGTAAATTATGTAAAAATAACATTATAAATAAAATTAAATTTGTATTTATAATTTTAATACTTTAATATTATAAAAAATTTTAATAAATACTAAGAAGCAAAATATAATTGTACTTATTTGTATTTGTATATATCTTATATTTAAATTATAATAATAACATAATAATCAATATAATTTAATAATTTTATTTAATTTGTTAGGCATTTCCTTATACTATTATTAGTAATGCCAATTTATCACTTATTTCGAGTACTTAATCACTTATTTCGAGTATTTAAATTACTGTATATCATATTTCAAATATTCGAAGTAAGTGATTAATTGGCGTTACTAGTGATAAATTTCTACAAGAGTTAATAATACAGATTATATTTGATCAAAGTATTGACAGATGAGTTATAAAATGATTAATAAAAGAAATAACAAAATAAATCAAATAGAAATAAAAACAAAACAAGAAATAATATACAAATATAATAAAGGAGATCGTTCTACGAAAGAAATAAAATAAAAATAAAGAAAGTAACGGAAAAGAGATATACGTGTCAGATATATTTAAAATAAGATTAAAAAACAAACGTAGCACAAAATGTAATTAAAAAAAGCAGATATTATAAGAATAATTATAGACGATATGAAGCAATAAAGGAAATAATAAAAAGAATACAAATTAATTTAAAAATTATTTTGGAAAATAATAAATTATGAAACAAAAATAAAACAACGTTGAATATATGTATTATATGAAAAAGTAAAAAACAACATATTATTTCAACAAAAGCGGTTTTCATAGTAAAAGTAACGAAAGTGAAGGTAAATCTAGTAGCAGATGTAGGAAAAAAGCAGAATGTAAAACTAAAAAAAAGCAATATGAAATAATGTCAGCAAAAGCGAAATAATAAGGGACAATATATAAAATTGTATTATAATAAATTATTTGAGATTAAAATGATTTTATTTTCTTATATTATATACTCACGTGCTATTTGTATATGAGCGAACGCCTCTTTGAAATATTTCTTCAGTTACGGCGTGTTGCATCATGCGCAGTATACAGGGTGCTACAATTTACATCGAAATTATAAATTAGATATATTATAAATATATATTTATTATAATGGTTACATGTAAAGTGATACTATATATTATAAGGCAAAATTATTTGTATATATATATATATACAAGATACAGTAATCGCATAACAGTGAAATGTCTTCTATTGCCGCACGGTTTATCATTTTATTTTAAAAGTAAATTTTTGTTACAAAGATATAGCAAAACATTAAAGGACCATTTTATTAATATCCTCTACACACATATGCGTAATTATACAGGACACTTCGTGTGTGTATTATATTTATATATATTATTTAGTAAAATATTGTGTGTATATATATTTATATATATTATTTGGTATAATATACAGGGTGTCCCATAATTCGAGAACCACCGCGAATGGGCAGATAGAGCGTGTTAAACTGAATAGAAAAGTCCTGTATCATTTTGCGATATTTGCAATAATTATTGAGTTATTTATTAAAATATCTAAACCCTTAAGCAGGTAGAAAGCATTATTTGATCGAGAGGCGGCGTCATGCAGCGAGCGGCGAGCAATGTAGTGGCGCCGAAAAGTAAGATGTTACTTTTGATACTAAGCGGCATATAACAAATAAGTCATCCGACATCCACACCGCCGGAAAAACACATATGAGTAAATATAAAAATAAAATTATAAACTTTGTATCAATATAATTAACAAATATTACATACTTTTAAAATTATTATCTCATGATATATTATATCGCAGAGTTTTCTTTATCAAAATAAGTAAAATAAATATCGGATATAATAGTTTCTGATTAATTTATTTTATTTTAGATTTTATACAAATCTGTACGTATAAGTACCGTCCGTCTCTTTGTCTGTCTGACCGCGAACTGCTTCCACATTTGTGGACTGATTTCATCAAATTGGTACCAAAATTTCGCATATTTTCGGAAATCGCTACTATGTGTTTTTTTTTTAGTTTTACACTACTACATACGCATCCACACACGCATACATATATTTATTGATTAATTTTCGCGAAATTGGATATTTACTTATATTTATATATACAAGTTGCAAATTTTTTGGGGAGTGTGATGAGATGGTTATTTTTTAATTTAAAATTTTTAACATAGAGAAGGATATGTTTCCGCGAAAAAATATTTTGCAGATTTCTATGGCAATGTGTTCGAAATGTTCCAAAATATCGAGAAATCACATTTAAAAAAAATTCGTATATAAAACTTTTACCCACGCATTCACACATATATTGATTTATTTTCGGTACCAAGTTCATGAAAATTTTTGGGTGACGACGACAGACAGACGGACAGATGGACAGACAAATAGATAGATATTAAATAAGTATAACTAAATATTATATATCTTTGGTTTTGTAGAATAAAAAATTGTGTAAAAACTAGTAAGAGCGGAATCAGTGTTGGGTAAAGGCTTTAAGGCCCGCGTGAAAGCGAACCGAAAAAGCTAGTATAATAATATCAGATAAAGTGATGTTAAAATATAATATAATATAGTATAAATAAAGTTTTCATACTTTACATTATATTATATGAATGTAAATATTGAAAAAGTATTTTTAAAAACAGTTTAATATATTGTATACATATGTATAACATATATTGTTTAATATTGTATACATATGTATATAATGTTAAAAAGAATTTATACATTTTGTAAAAATAATTTGATATACGAAAATCTTGCTATATAAATGCTTAAGTATGTTATCGTTTCCGAGAAAGTGGGAGGTAATAGCATTAAAATTATTTAGAATCACTTATTGACAGTATTCATTGCAAGCAATGTAGTAAGAGCTTTGTTGAACCAGAAGCCGATCGAAACGGATTGTTCAGATTATAAAACCATTGCTGTGTCACTTTATGTCCGACTAATTGAGCTACTTCGATTTTGTGAGCAACAGATATAAATTTTTATCGTAAACGATATCCATTTCGCTGAAAGTAATATTTAAATGTTAGACTGAGAACTCTTGTACATAATAAAATTTCAATTAGCAAATTGGTATTGTAAATCGTAAAAAAACAAATAATATTTTTTGTAATTTTTAATTTAAGTATGAAACAATGATTTGTGTTAATGCGTAAATCATTGATGAAGAACTTTAGTTTTAATAAATAAAAAATGTTATTTCTTTTATAGCTTTATTACAATTTTAAATTTACCTTAGGGGATACGATATAGCATAAAAATTTTTATCTTTATGTATGTATATATTAGAACAATAAACTACAACATTTTGAATTATAGTACGAATAAACTTAAATTTTACTACTTAAAATTGTTTCACAATATCTTATACTTTTGCACATTTACAGAAACAAAAGATATACCTACATGTTTTCAATTGTATAATTTTGCATACTAATATATAATTTTACTTTCAATGTAATTTTAAGTACTTGTACTCACTTATAAAAAACAAGTCCGAAAACTATTATACCATTATCAGGGAAATTTGGCATTGCAACGTGAGTCACTTTCGAAATATTGTTTGAATGTTGTTTCCATTTATTTTTATAGAACAACGTGATATTTTCAGCTACATTCTTTGCAAATGCCATGTGAAATACAAATTCGTTTCTGCACCACATTTGAATATGTTGAGTTATTATTATCAACACGTGATAAGTAATTGGACACAATTATTGTTGCAAGATACGGCGACATTGCGGGTGTGGTATCGAAGCGTTTCAATAACATATTGTACTTGTTTTTTTCAGTATGTCGCAATGGCATATTGACAAAGCCGTGCATTGATTACATCCTATAGATATGCTAAAGGTTGCTTCTAAGAATAAATATTTTTCATCCCAACACGTACTCATTATATACCGGGTGCCTATTATATGAAAATGAGTAACAGCTACGAAACTATACATTTCAAAAAACATAAATTAATGAAACAATTCTAGCAAGCATCAAAATGTTGGAATTTAAAATGTTTAAATGTAATATGTAATAATATGCATTAAAGGTATAGAATTAGTAGTCTTTATATTTAAATTGCATGATATATAATAATTTTTGAAACATTTTATACAAAAATAATATATATTAATTACAAGGTTGCATGTAATTGCACATTGCACATTGATTTTAATAAACATATATTATTTACTTACGCAGTTTTATTTTTCACATCGAAAATTCTAAAGACTTCATCAGTATAACCAAAATATTTAATATATAAAGTGTAATTTCCTGGTAATAACTCATCCTTAAAAGAAAGGTCAATTATGTCTTCTTGAATATCATATGTCGGTTTATAGACTGTATATTTAATATTCTCATGATGTTTTTCTAAATTTTTAATTAAAATTATATTTTTTAAACATAATTTTTCTGAATATATGTTGTTGATTAATATATTTTGCGTTTTGTTAAGAATGCTTATGCTAATATTGTATTCTCCATAAAAAATATTTCCTTCAATGTATGATATATGCTTAATATGGTAATGGATTGGTTTTATATATTTTGATGGTTGATAGCATAAAGACGATTGATTAGGAGTAGAAGCCGTTCCAACGATATACATTATTCCGCTAATTAATAGTAGAAATATCATCGTGTCAAAAATTTATTTTAGGTCTGCAAAACACACTGTAAGCAAAAGACAAATAGAGAACCTAAATATAGTAATGATGTCTTTTTTAAATCACTAGACAACACAAGAACGCGCTTAGCGCACGCTTTTGATATTATTTCTATTATTCACTTTACAATTGTCAAATTGTTAATTTTTGCGATGACAGTTGCTTGATGCTATAAAAATGATCATAATTTTAATTAGCCGAATTATTATTTTGACTTCTATTTTGTATATATATATTGATAGTAGAATACTAATACGTTTGAGAAAGACAACTTAATAATAAGTAAAAATTAAATTTTAATAAGTTTTAATTTTAATATATTTCACAGGATAATTAATTTTAACGACCATTACTGTCTAATAAATATTTAATAATCACCACCCAACGTTTCGACCATGGGTTTTGGTCCTTCTCAAGTGTACTTAAAATTAAAAACTGTGAACATATTATTCGAATGAAACTTCTTGTCGAATCGTGATAAAATAATAGCCAAGGACTATACAACCTTTAATATATTGACATCACAAATAAGTATTAAAATACACACAGATATTTTTTATAAATAAAAAGGGTACGAGAAATTTTGGAAACAGAATTTTAATAATCTAGTAATAAAAGGACAATTAAAAGTGTCTATTAAAATATTCATTATCTGTTAATTGCAGTATTTTTTAGTTTAAAAAATTATTTATTGGACATCAAACTTTTGTGGGTTTAAGATTATTTCAACTGTGGGGATAAAATTCATTATATATTTCAATTTTATTTTAAAATATTAAATTGAATTGAGAACGAGAGTCGGCGATCGAATATATGTATATATATGACAACGAGGGAAACAATTATAATGAACAGGTAAAGCAAAGTATCAAAACAAGCAAAATATAACAACGGACAGCTTAATCGATATAAGCATAGGTGACCGAAGAATCGATAATTTGTCACTCAGCGAACTCGCTGAAGAAAAAACAAATAGAATTATATCTCGCAAGCAAAAGTTATACCTCGCGGTTATTGCAAGTCATTTATATAATATATTAAATGCAGAATTAAAGCCAATAACAATAATATAACGTCTCTAAATTTATTACAACATTTCAGCTAATAAAACTAATAATTCGCCAAACAACATACAATTCGTAAAATATTATACGATCGATATTATTTGAAATTATCTCTGGATTAAAATTTACAAATAATTGTGAATAAAACTATTCTCTTTATTTCTATACATATGTTGGAAATTCTATAAAATTCCGTCCTACCGTATGATTAAATTTTTTTGAATTTGTAGACACATATATGTTTTATATGTATGAAAATTGTAATGACTTACCGAATATTTCGAAGCAGAATGTTAATTAGAAAACTATATTGATTAAAACTATATATCGTTTTAAAAATGAACTGCAACAAATTAATGCTTTAGAAGTATGCAACGTTGGAAGAATATAATATATTCACACACTTTATTAAAAGTATTATATCTACCACCACGTGGTTCGAAAGACCACGAAAGACTGACTGATTCTCTGTACGTTTTATCATGATAAATATAATGTGTTAGGTCAATAAAATTTCTGAGGTCGTTATATGTAGGTATATATATACGTATTTGTGTGGCTGCATTTTTGTGTAACAGTTGACTTAATTAAGCCTAGCACATTCAAAAGATGCTAACCTAATCAAATAAATAGGCATTATTTATACACTTTTCTCAACACTGACTCCGCTATTATTAGTTTTCATACAATTTTTCATTTTACAAAACCTCTTTGTATACAACATTTGCCGTAAAAGATTTCGGATTTCCTTTAATGTTGCAAATTTTTCGGGGTATGCGACGATGGGGTTTTTAAGTAAGTACTATTTAGACTATTTAAGTCTGTCTGTTTGTCTGTTTAATTACTATTTCGAACTACTTTAACATTCTCTGAAAAATTTGCAAAATTGTGGTACCAATTTCGAAAAAATCGGTCCATAAATATGCGATTGCGTGGGTGGGAGTGTAAAACTTAAAACAGAACATCCATCCCCGAAAAATTTGCAACATTTTGGTAGTTGTTTCACAAAAATCGGTCCATAAATATCGAAGTATTTCGCGATCAGACAGACAGACAGACGGTGCTTATATCTATAGATATATATATTTCTTATATAAAAAATATAGTGTAATTTTTCTTTATATACATGCACTTTCGATAATTTTATCTTAATAATTTTATGCACAAAATATAGTAATATAATTCAATTAGTGTAAACATGTTTCATAATTTTAAAAAATGTATGTAGTTGCACATTGTTATAAATTGCAATTTTCTTTAAATCAACTGTAGTGTTTTTTTTTATACGAATCAATTTATCCACATTATTTTGTGCAGAAATTTATTCAGCTAAAATAATATCGAAAAATAAATATATTACAAGATGTTTTATATTTTTGTCAATATTAAACACATAAAACGTTTAACAATATAATAATAACTATCAAATCTCAAAAATGCCTCCACCTGAAATAAGACCATATATTTACGACGCGACGCTCCTTTCAAATTCTATAAATGTTGTATAAAGTATATTTTTCGGAAGAGAAATTTTGGTTCTGAAATAACAATACGTTATTTAAAATGGGTTACTTTATATTTTTTTGTTAGAAATATACATTTATTTATATACATGTTTATGCACAATATTGTGTCTACTTACGCCTGTATATGTTATAAAATCGTAAATATTATAATTGATTATTTATTAATCACGATTTGTACTATTTTTTCGTCTTTTTATATCAATTTTTCTCTAATTTTAAAGTTTTACTACTTTGATTATTTATTATATCGTACTCTGTGTGCAAAACTATAAAGATTTATAACTGATAAAATTAGTTTTTTCATATAACATTTCTTTAAAAAGTGAATACAAAATATTTTCGAAGATCTGTTTCCTTTTTTTTCTGCTCAAATTATATATATACTAGATAAACAAACTGTGAGAATAAAGCGAAAATGATATACAATTTTGAATATAAAACGTGACTTATCTTATCCGATGAACTATCGCGATACATCAAACCAGATGTGACGACAATTGTTGCGAATTTATATTACGAATTTCTTTGGAAATTAAAATATTCTGTAATTGATAATTATATAATAATTACTATATTTTTATCTTCCGAACATATATTATGTTATACATAGAAGGCCTCTAAAAATTTTTAACAAAGTTTATTTTATCAAATCTCTTTAATAGCGCAAAAAAAATTTTATTAAATTTAATTAAATATTTAACTCAATACTCTTTTATAATAAAAATCATTTATTTGAAACTAATGATATTGATTAAATGTGAAAAACATTTATTGTTTGATGTAAGAAAATTCTTTTCAAAACAGATAAATATATTTATTTGTATCAAATAAATGATTTATATAGCTGTATAGAAATAAAAATATTTTTTAATTTCATAATTTTTGCAATGCGCGGTGATACTCTTTTATATGTGTCAATTTAATTCTTGGCAATATGTGAAACATTAAATTTATTTTAATTGTGCAAATAAGAATTAAATTAAATTATCTTTAATTTTAATTTAAATGTTTGAGAAAATTAATAAACGATACTTCTTTCCTTTTTACAATATTTTATTTAGTGTCAGAATTACTGAAATATCAATTAAAGTATTAAATCAGCCAAAGATATCTGTTAAAAATTAGTACTATAAATTTACACACACAGCATGTGTTTAGTTTAATATTTATTTTCTTTTATGTAAATAATGTAAATTATAATATTTTTAAGTTTCAAAGGCATTTTATTCGATCAATTTTTATGGGTCGAAAATTATTTCAATATTACGGTTCCGGAATCAATTATACGTAAATATGTGCGTATATTACGTAGTAGCTTTCTTTACATATTCTAATCGATAAGCTATAAAAATATTTTAAAAGAGATTCGACATTTATTATTAAGAATAGCAAAAAACGGAATAATAAAAACTCAAATAAAGTAATAAGATAATTTTTTAATATTAAAATTCATCGTGTTGATTGATCAAAAGCACATGTTAGACGCGCACTTATTATAAACTTGTGACAAATGTTATTGCTGTGTTATTGCTATGTGACAAGTTATGCAATATTGTTTTGACCTTGCAGTTTTATATCGTTATTTTTAATATTTTTATTAATATATATATAATATATTAAGATTAATATTAATATTAATATTAAGCTAATCAATCACAAATTCTACATAATTAATAATATTGAATGTAAAAATAATTAATTTCTGTAATAATATATAATTCTACTACTTCAAACAAGATCGCAAAAACATGAGAATCTTGATGCATGCAGTCATATAGTTTTATATAGGTAAATATAAAAGCATTGGATAGTAATACATCTAAATAAGCAATATTTAAAGCAGTAATAGGAATAGATGCAATATAAAACAATTATTCATATAAAGTACTTCCATGTAAGCAAAACTGCAAATTTTTTACATCCACCGATTAGAAGAAAAATCTTGCAAATTATTGTCTCTGCTTTTCGATTTGTTTTTTGCGAATAATTTCAATCTTGATTATAATATAAGAATATAAGTCATCTTTATCTATCACACGGTAACTCATCTAAAACAAATCGTTTCATTAACTATAATATAATTAGATAAATATAGTAATCTCATTCCGCATTATGCAAATCTTAATATATATAAACAAAGATTGTCATAATGAAATCAACATACTGATTATATAACAAATAATCAAATATAAAAATAATATTCAGAAATTAATCAGATAGAACAATTTTTCATTTTTTTTCGCTTTCCATAATAATATTTATTAAATATACCTCCTTTATTCGATGTCTTCTAAATTGATTTTCTGTATTCACTTCAATTATGTTAGCTTCTACAATACTTTCAGAGTGTCTTTCTATTGACTAAAATATATAATTTTAATACCATTATTAATGAACAACGTTATGATAACATTATCAAAATTATTTTAAACATTAAATAATAATTAGTAATATCGCATTATTATCATATTTTGTATACATATTTAAATATGTAACATTTTTACCTCAACTAGATTTTCGGAATATACATTATTAATCATAATAATTAATGCTGCAATTATATTAACATTTCTAAAAACAAAAAAAGAGGTATCTATAATACATATAATAAACTTTTGTACAAAATATTTATAAAAATATGTCACATTACTTTGGTTTTAATTCGTTAAAATTATCTAATAAATACGTCAGTATAATTGGATTCTTTGCATGCTTCGTAATAATATGTAAGAAAATGTAAGCGAGAAATTGATCGTCCTGTTTTGTATAAGTGTACTGTTTATAATTTAAATAGTCCTTGATGAAATCTATATCTTCAATGCAAGCCAAGTATTCTAAAAATTTACTGTCATTTGTTTCGAATCCTATGGTATACACTGATGTCCTAGTAGTAACGTCATTTATCATAGTTTTCATTAAACCTCTACAATATGTCCATTCCCTCCACCATGGCAAAAGTCTACAATATAAAAAGAATTTAATTTTCTTATTAAAGATAAGCGTATCAACTCATTTGAACATTATAGGAGATACCTACAAGAAATTTGATTAAGAAAGGCTAAAAATATAAAACAATATTTACCCGTGTTTTATAGGATCTTCGAGATATTGTTCTAATTTATTTTTCGCTTTTTCCGTACAATTAATGTCACCGAAAAAACATGCCCATCTTGCAGCTTCTTGTCGTAAACATGTTATAAGTTCGTCTGAATCATCAATTTCTTCATATTTGATTTTTATAAGTATCTTATTTAACATGACTCCTATTCTTTTCTAAAAATAGTTACATATACAGTTCTTTGTTAATAAGTTTATAATTATATAGTTCATTGACAAAGATTTTAAGCACCCAGCTATATAATAATGTTATATATCAATATTATTGACAGTAGTGAAAATCATACACTTTGGGGGACTGTTCTCCGCGTGAGTGATTATTCAAACTGAAATGTTTGCACATTTATCTGTGACGCAATAATATGTAAAATTTTATCGTTGCTGGATATATTTTTTTGATTGTAAGTATTTAAATTATGGTGATGAATGAGAGTATATGCAAATATCCGAAATGTAACACTTTCATTGAACTCTATTAATATTTACCATATAAGTCCAATTGCTTTCTTCCAGCATAGCAGCAGGAAAAGTATTAAACATGTATTCCAGAGCTTTAAACATAGGATACCATGCTATATAATCTTCTTCTTTATCCAAATACGATGTGATATTCCAGAATATATTGGCGTTGAGTTGGCCTGCTATCACTAAATGAAATGCATCATCGATAATTTGGGCACGATTAAGAACATGATTTTCGTAAATTATC